AAATAAATAATTAATCTTTTCAAAAAATAAAATAAAGTGTGTTAGAGTGCAATGGCACCTAGGGGATAGGAAGAAAGGCAGAGGACTTACTACACAAGTTATTTATAAATCATCTTATTCATAGAATAAGGATGATTCAGAAAGAGTCTGGGCAAAATAGCCACAGTCATAAATTTCAGGAGACTATATTACTGTATTATCTCATCTAACTCAACAACAGTATGGGCACTATACTATTTTTTATTCTAATTTACAAATGAGAAATTAAGTTTGAGTAATGTGTTTTCCCCCCCCCCTCAAGTTCACACAGAGACTAAGAAGTGCCACTGGAACTGCAATCTGTTTGTTTGGTGTAACAACCCAAACTCTAAACCATTCCAATCTACAATACTTCAATCATGTTGACATATAAATTTTTGTTCAAAAAATTATCACTTTCAAGGTCTACCATTTCACAAGTACTATTATATATCCACATAAGTGCTGTAGTTTTTTTTATTCACCCACATATCCATTAACACAGGTACATTTATTTAGTATGCTCAATGAAGTATACACTTTATAGGTGTTTGAGTTATATTAATGTCAACAACTGTGAAGGGTCTGAGATTTTTCCCTACTTGGAAGCTAATCAGTTAACCTGTCATGATTTCATAGTGTGGACAAGGAACAACTCCTGGACCAAAGACAAAGAAATTTATTATTTCTAGAATAACAGGCAATATAAATGTGTGTTTGCACCAGTTCCCTTACCCCTCAAGCCAGAGAGAGTGACAGGGAATGTCTTCAGAGGATTCTATGCACACAGTGGGTTTGTATCACTCCTGAGAAAGCCCAAAGTTTGTCAACTCCAGTTATAAGAGGATGCCAGCAAACATGCCCAACTTTGGACCTGTAGGAAGATACCATATTTATTATACTGGGAAACAAACACAAACTTGCCCTCCATTTTCAAGGGAGATACTATCTAAGATTTCTTCCAAGATTGTTTGCTATACAAAAATCCTTGAAAAGATAATCCAGATCAAAAGGCTACAGTGCCTCTGCTTATAAGAAGTGTAGAAATGAAAATGACCTGAGGCACCTGGGTGGCTCTGTCAGTTGGGTGGCCAACTCTTGATTTCAGCTCAGGTCATGATCTCAGGGTGGAGCCTGCTTAAGACTGTCTCTCTCCCTCTCCCTGT